AAGCTATTTATGAAGTGTGGAGGTATAAGAATTATGTCTGTTTTGAGTCTGATTCTGGTATTAATAGTGATAACACAAGCTCCAAATTGTGGATAGTATTGTATACATCATATAGGAAAGTTCCTGATGTCTTAGGTGTTCTTTAGTTCATTTGGTTGTCTTGTTTTTGTGTTTGTTGGATCGTTTTCAATTCGTAGTGTTCTTTGAATCTATCAACTAGTGGGATATCCGTGTGTTCGCACGGGTAGCGGTATGGTATGCGCATTTGTTCTCAAAATATATTTTTTTATACAAATATTATTTTTGTTTTGGAATTATTGTCAAAAATATTTAAACCAATAGTAAAGTTATTCTATTATTATTCAATATTTTAATAAGTAATTTCATGTTCCCGTTATTATTCAATATTTTGATCAGTAATTTCATGTTCCCGTTATTATTCAATATTTTGACCAGTAATTTCATGTTTCCGTTATTATTAAATATTTTGATTAGTAACTTCATGTTTCTGTTAATATTCGATATTTTGATAAGTAATTTCATGTTCTCGTTAATATTTAATATTTTGATCAGTAATTTAATATTTCCGTTAATATTCAATATTTTGATCAGCAACTTCATGTTTATGTTAATATTCAATATTTTTATTAGTAACTTCATGTTCCCGTTAATATTTAATATTTTGATCAGTAATTTAATATTTCCGTTAATATTTAATAATTTGATCAATAACTTTATATTCCCGTTAATATCAATAGTTTGATCAATAATTTCATGTTTCCGTTAATATTCAATATTTTAATTAGTAACTTATTGTTTCCGTTAATATTCAATAGTTTGATCAATAACTTCATGTTCTCGTTAATATTCAATAATTTCATGTTCTCGTTAATATTCAATATTTTGATCACTAACTTTATGTTCTTGTTAATATTCAATATTTTGATTATTAACTTCATGTTTCCATTAACATTTAATTTTTTTATCAGTAACTTTATGTTCTCTATAATATTCAATATTTTGAACAATAAATTCATGTACCCACCCGTTAATATTCAATATTTTAATTAATAACTTCATGGTCTCCTTAATATTTAATATTTTTATCAGTAATTTCAGGTTCTCGTTAATATTCTATATTTTGATTAGTATAACTTCATATTCCTCTTAATAATCAATATTTTGATAAGTAATTTCATGTTTCCGTTAATAATTTAATTTTTTTAAATATTAAGAGACACTTATTTTTCAATCTTCATTATCTTCATTTTTCCAACAAAAAATTAAATGATTGAAATGATGTTTGAATCTTTATGTTTAAAAAAATACATTTGTCATGGTCGAATATAGCTCGTTGACAACCGATAGTATTAATATAATTAAACAATCATAAATTTTAAAAAAGATGTAGTAATTGATTTATTTAAACAAATGTGATTGATCTAATAAAAAAATGTGATTGATATAATTAAACAATTATAATCGTACACTCATTTAGAAATGGATTAATGATATGTAAAAATATTATTGAGTTAGTTTAACAAATTGTTAATTTAATTTATTGTTTAAATTATAATTTATTATATTATATAAATTAACCATTATTTTTAATTTAGATATCATCCAAATTTTAAATGTTCTTGATTAAAGAAGTGCTTTTTAAGTACCCCGTGTAAATTTTGATGTTGAAAAAAAAGTCAAAAAAAGCATTTCATTAGTCAATAGGAGTGAGTTCAGTACACTAATTACATTGTTGTCATGTGATTACTATATCATATTACATAAATCTAAATCAATTTAATAAGATTAATTTTATTTAATGAAAAAATTTGAAGTAATTTATGTTTAAATATATTTATATAAAGTTAAAAAAAAAAACATTCATATCATATTAAAAAAGCTATAAATTCTAAATTCATTTTTTAAAAAAAATTAAAAAAACAAAACCAATTATATTTAAAAGAAACTAAACATGTCAAAGTCTATTTGACATTTCTAAACATAAGATACTTTATTCATGAACAAACGTAAAATGGATTGTAAAAACCAGCACTTTCAATTCCATTATCTTGTACAATATTTTCTGTCCTTTTATTTACAATCTAGTAATCGACATTGTTTATAGCCAATTTCTTCTCACTCAGTTTATTATCAAAGCATTTAAGTTTCAATTAAATAGCGTAAGATAGATAAGCAATGAAGAAAAACAAAAACAAAAGAAAGAATTTCAAACATGATCCCTACTACACATATATTAACATATTTAGCTGAAAATTGTAAACCACAATTTTATTTAACAGAAGTTAGAATTTAATAAAGATCTAATATCAAATGATCTAAAACAATTTTGTTTGATATACACGTCAATCAACAAAGGTTTAAACTTTAATGATTTAAAAGAATACGTTGTTTCTTATACATCGATCGATCAAAGGTCTCAACTCAAACAGTCTAAAAATATATTTCATGTACATCAAATGAACAAAGGTCTAAACTCAATAAATCCAAAATATATTGTTTCATGTATATCAATGAGTATTCACCATAGTTTTCATGGGAAAAGAAATATTTTTTCAATATGTGAACAAGTTTCCACAAGCTCGTGAGCCTCAGCTGCTTCAGAAAAATGGAAATGTTGGTGGACCCAAGGCTTTACTCATAACATTTTTCAAATTTCTGTCAAGTGCTTCTAAAGCATGCTCGTATGTCATTTGTACATTACTTTTAGCTCTTTTGTTAGTCCTTTCTCACAAGCACCTTTCAAACCTCACTACGTCAAAACTACTTTTAGGCAGCATACCATAAACAACATTTATTTATTTATCAAAGTACTGCTATATGTCCCGATAAAATTTTAAAATTTAAAACTATATACATTAAACAACGCTTTATAAAAAAAACGCTTCCTAAAGCTGAGAAAAAGCCCTGCCTTAGGTTCACAATAGAAAGCGCTGCCATATTCTTAAATTAGAGAGTCCTTTTAAAAAAGTGTTGTCATAGGCCCAACATTAGAAAACACTTTTACAAATCGCTTCCATAGGCCCAACATTAGAAAGCGCTTTACAAAAGCACAGTCATAGGCCCATCAATACAAAGCGCTGCCATAGACAGAAAATGTTACTAAAGTCACACTTTAGAAAGCGCTTTCTAAAAGCGCTGCCTAAGGTTAATTAAAATTGAAATTAAAAAATACATTCTAGGTTTACAAAGTTTTATTACTTCCTGTTTTCTTCTTCTCCCTTCCAACGTTCACGAAATCCCTCTGCTTCCGACTGCGCCTTCATTTCCTCCACTCTTCGTCTTCGCCTCCGCCTCTGCTTGCCCCTTTGCCTCCGCCTCTAATTTTTGGGTATCCACCGAAAACACTCCGCCTGCACCGAAAATGCTCCGCCTCTGGTTTTGCTGAAGAGTGCTTCCAAGAATCCAAGCTCACATTAGGTTAGCTTCTGGTTTACATAATTTGCTTCTGAACCAAAAAGTAGGGTTTAAGAATTTATCAATTTATTTTGGTTTGGGTGATAGTTGTAACACTTCGTTTTTTATTTATTCAATTTTTTAATAAATATTAAGGGAATATATGTGATTACGAGTAAGTGTTATGTTTCGATGTGTTGTGATGCCTTAATAAAGGGTAATTGTCTTAGAAAATAAAGAAATTAAGGTATTGGGGGTGTATGACTAAAAATGTAGAAAAATAGAGGTGGATGGAGAATGTTGGTTTAATAATAATATTATTTGAATTAAAATAATAATTATAGTTTTTATAATTATATTATTATTATTTTAATGAGGAAGGGCAAAGTTGGAATAATGATCGAGGAGTTCAAGGAGTCATTGTTGGAATAAAATAGAATTGAGAATAGAGAAGAAAAAAATAACGTAGAAAGCAGAGAAGGGTTCGTAGAAGAGAGAAGAAGAGAAAGAAGTTAGGACAGGAAGTTGTACCGTAAGAGTCAAGAACTGGTAAAATTCAAGGTAAATGTGAGATTCTAACACAATAATAGGTTGCATGATGATAGGGTATAGTAATGTTTAGGTTCCATGATTGTGTGTTCTTGGTTTTCTCCACATTTTACTTTGTGGGATTTTACCATTGATGAATTTCCTTGATGCATTTTGTGTGTAATTGGTGAAATTTGATGATGTATATTGAAGGGAATTGATAGACAATGTTGGTGAAGAATTAGTATGATTAGAAGATATTGTTTTGATTGAAATATTGGGAGTTGGATTTTGAAACAATGATTTTCATATTCAGAAAAATTGTAAAATGGGAGGTAATCAGTTACCCAGTGTAAATTTGGATGAAATGAGCAAAAAAATAAAAAGGCATAATCGGATCCTGCATAAGTGATAATCGAGTACTCAACGGGACAGAATTGATGAGATAAGAATATAATTTTATGATTTTTTTTATTTAAAAAAAGTGTGCTCTAAAAACTCATTAAATTTAAAGAATTTTATGAATCAACTAAATCAAGTGTTGTGATTTTATTTTATAAATGACTAAATTATAGTAATAATATATTAACAATAATAATAAGTATATATGAATATATAAAGATATTTTATAAATGACTAAATTACTATAATAATATATTAACAATAATAATAAGTATATATGGATATATAAAGAAAGAAATTAGTAATAATTAACATATTTATTCTTATATATATGCCAATCTACATCCAAGCCAAACTAAAAGTTGTGAGCTTTTCACAAATTAGCACATAATAAGTCAATAACAAAATAAAAAACAGAAATACACATAAATTTCTCTCTCTCTAAATTATTATTCTAGACTCATCACTCCATCATAGTTAGAAAGAATTTCCAGTGACTCCCCACCATACGGTATTGTACACCATACTGCAAACAGAAAAAAACAAACATCATTACCTTAATAAATGGGAGAAAAATGTAATAAAAAAACAAAAACAAAAAAAAGACATTATTACCTTAATGAACATAGAAAGAGAGAAACAACATTAGATCTAATCTAATCACTGTCACTGCTGCTGCTACTATCATGATCATGTCCATGACCATGTTCTTTCTTCTTCTTATCCTTCTTCTTCTTGTCCTTCTTCTCACCTTTGTGTTCATCACTTCCACCATGGATCTTATCCTTAATCTTCTCAACTACACCTTCCTTGTGTTCACCTTTGTGCTTATCATCATGACTCTTCTCTCCTTTGTGTTCATCACCTTGGATCTTGTCCTTGATCTTCTCAACCAAACCTTCTTTGTGTTTACCTTCATGCTTCTCGTCGTGACTCTTCTCTCCTTTGTGTTCATCTTCTTTCTTGTGTCCTCCTCCGATGTGAAGAGTCTCTCCGATCTTGTTGATGATTCCTGCCATTTTCTTTTTCTGTGACTCTCTTTGATTTTGCTTTTGTGAGATATTACTAGGGAAGTAATTGAATTTATAGAGTTGAATAAAAGTAACGTAAATTAATACAGATATTATTTTGGCTGAAATTACGGTAATGACCATGTGCGTGTAGCGTCCGTGTCCACGTGTACACGCTATTTTTATTATTATTGGTCGGTAAACAAATAAATTTATTTTATTTTTAAAAATTGAATGTATCTGACCTATATTTGAGATGAGATAATTTTTGATCAATGGAAAAAATTTCTATGGTAAGAAAACTTTAATGAAATTTTGTTTTTTTGAGTCTTTTTGGAATCTAAATTTTAACGTTCTAGAATTTAATGTAGTAAAGTATGGCATCTATTGGTTGGTGTATAGAACAGCATCCAATGCTTATTGAGATGATGGTACTGACCAACCAATGCGTAGGAATAAAGGAAATATCAAAATACTAGTACTCGATAACTTTTTATTTTCCTTTTTCAATATTCTTTCTAATCTCAAACTCAATTTTCATTCAATGCACAATTTCTTTAAAAGGGAAATACTAACAAATGTGTAGTATTTAGGAAAATAATAATAATTGACTCATAAAATAGGAAAATAATAATAACTTTTGAATAGAAAGTGATATACTTTTTCTTTTTTATAAAATTTTGCTTTGTATTACTAAAACAAAATTTCCTTCTATAAAATTTTTAAATTTTGTTTTTAAACAAATTCTTTTACATCAAATAATGGAAGAATTACACATTAACCGTAACTCTCTCTTGAACGTCTTGTACGAAAATTCCAAAATCAACCAATAATTTTAGAGGACAAATCTGCGATTTTTTTGGATGAAGACCTCCGCAAATCTCAACTCAATATTATCGACTACACAAGAATTTAATTGGACATTATTGAACTCTGTTTAGATGGAACCCCAACAAAAAATTATTACGATGATTTGTTAGTGTGTATGCATAGGTTGGAGGTTGAAGGTGAAGATCAATTGTATGAAATTTTTATGGTATCATCAAGTTGGAATAACGCATGAATGATGTATTTATAGTTATGAAAGTTTTGTGGCAAAAGAGGGAAATTTGAAATTAAAAGAAAATAGAAATTTTGACCTATGAAACTGTATAAGTCAGCTTGTAATTTGCATGTGCCAACTCATAGTGTTAATTTGAACAGCATGAGCCGACCTGAAATGACTTATGAGTCGGACTGACCAAGACAGGAGAAAATTGTTTATTTAGGACAGTACATGAGTCGGCCTGAAAGGCTGTATGAGTCAGCCTAACCAAAACAGAAGAAAAATACTTATTTAGGATAGTACATGAGCCGACCTGAAAGGCTGAATGAGCCGACCTGGAATACATATGCAATGCATAAATGATTTTTTGATGATTGGGACCGTTTTGACTATGTTTCAAATGATTCGTAAGACCTCTAAATAAATAGAGTGTCATACAAACTCATATATACCACCCAATACACAGAAATGATATATTCTTATAGTTTTGACATCATACAAAACACATCAGAGGCAAGTTGCACTCACATACTCCCCCCTTTTGATGATGACAAAACTGCGACGATGACATTTCATGTTCATTTGACACTCCCTCTGTCTATGTGCTTCCACACTTCATCTAGCATATCCTTCTCTCCCTTTGAAAACATCAAAAAGAGAACAAGCATATCATTAAAAGTATCATAGTTTCTCATAACAACCAATATATCATTCAGATGTGTTTTTGCATAGAAGAGTAATAATCACATATCCCTATATATATATATATATGTGTGTGTGTGTGTGTGTGTGTGTGTGTGTGTGTGTAATGATGTGAAATTGATAAATAGTCGGTAAATAATATTACAACACGTGTAATGTAATTCCATAATAAATAAAGAATGCAAGTAAGAGAAAACTTTTCAAGGTGCGTCTATAGTGTCATGATTAAGTAACACATCATTATGGAACCTCTGATGCCGCACACGCATGTGCCTAGCATAGCGACAAAAACATATCACTACTAAACCAAAATGAAGATGCCATAACATGTTATCAAATACATCATGAAACACATATTGTAACAAACACGCATACAATTAACTCAAGCATGAATGCAAAAGTTAAATGAAAACACATGTTTGCACAACAAGAACAAACTTATAAAAATGTAAAAGAATTAATACATGAATTCATTATAAGCATATACATTGAGAACATGCAATGGTTATCAATAAAAAAAATTTAGAAATGAGCATTCATGGTTTTCATTATTTGAGAAAATATCAAGCATTTTTGTAAATGAACAAGTAATATGCATTAAGGCAAATCTTACTTTCAATGATAAATTGAAACGATATTACATCACTCTTGATTGAACACAAGATGCACTCACATGATGTAAAATACTCAAACAAAGAGTTAGAGTGAAAGTATAAAGTGCAAGCAACAATATATGATTAAGCAACATTGGAGATATTGATGATCTCCAATTCGCCACGTATGTTGAAAAATGGTTCGGTTGCGAGAGGGTTTAGTGAAAATATTGGCAAGTTGATATTTGCTATCAACATGCTCAAACACAACATCCCCTTTCTCAACATGATCGCAAAGAAAGTGATGATATATCTCAATATGTTTAGTGTGAGAATGTAGCACAGGATTCTTGGTTGGATTAATGGCACTAGTGTTGTCACACATGATAGGAATACATTAAAGTTTAATGTCAAAATTAAATCATTATTGTTTTAGCCATAAAATTTGCGTACAACAACTACCGTCAGACACGTATTCCGCCTCGGGCGTTGACAAAGCAACATAAAATTGCTTTTTGATATTCCAACTAACCAAGGATTTTGAAAACATGTGACAAGTTCCACTAGTACTTTTCTTAACCAATTTGAAACCGGAAAAATCGGAATCGGAGTAACCAACCAAGCTACAACCATTTCCTTTGGAATACCATAGTCCAAACTTAGAGGTACCAATGAGGTATCTAAGAATACGCTTAATCGCCTTTAAGTGTGATTCCTTGGGAGCCGATTGATATCATGCACACATACAAACGCTAAACATAATATCGAGCCTATATACAGTAAGATATAGAAGAGATCCAATCATACCTCTATAATTTTTGACCTCAACATCCTTACCCTTTTCATCTCTATCCAAATTTCCATTTGTTGTCATAGGTGTGTCAATTTCCTTTGCATCATCCATGTCAAATCTTTTAAGTAATTCGAGACAATACTTGGTTTGACATATAAATGTTCCTTCATCGAGTTGCTTAATTTGTAGTCCAAGAAAGTAGTTCAACTCCCTCATTAGACTCGTTTCAAACTCTCCCTGCATAAGCTTAGAGAACTCCCTTAGAGCGCGTTGTTACCCATTTGGTGATATCACCAATAATATTGCCAATCAGATGATCCTTGGAGGTTCTCTACTCCAATGGAAGACCCTAATCTTCTTTTTTACTTTCATCATTCTACTTTTTTTGTTTTTCATCTTCCTCCTTCTCAATTTCCACCATTTTAGGTTGATCAACTCTTTTATCGGTGTATTTGAGTATGTCTTCCATAGATTCACCTGCACCATGAAAATAAATATATTTCCCAATACTATTTAGGCAAGTCTCATCAAAAGTAACATGAACTGACTCTTCAACTATAAGTAATCTTTTATTATAAACTCTATATGCTTTACTAGATTGCGAGTATCCAAGAAAGATACCTTCATCGGCTTTTGTGACAAATTTCCTAAGATTATCATTTACATTCTTTAAAATAAAACATTTACATCCAAAGACATAAAGATGCGATAAATTTGGTTTTCTACATTTTAAAAGTTCATAAGGAGTTTTGTCTAGTATAAGATGAATAGGCATCATATTCAATACATAACAAGCCGAGCTAATAGCATCGATCAAAAAATATTTTGGTTGACCATAGTCATTGAGCATAGTTCTTGTCAACTATGCTAAAACACGATTTTTACGCTTCACAACACCATTTTGTGTTGGAGTTCTAGGAGCTTAAAAATTATGTTCAATACCAAATTTATCACAATATTCTTCAAAGAGGTGGTTTTCAAATTTAACTCCATGATCGCTTTGAATGGAAACTATTTTAGAATTCAATTTATTTTGAGAAAACTTGGCGAAACGTGTGAAAGCCGAGAATGTTCCATCTTTGATACGTAAGAAAATAGTCCAACAAAATCTTGAGTAATCGTATCCAATCACAAATTTATAGTAATTACCACCTATGCTTTTGGTCCGTAAGGGTCCAACTAAATCCATGTGAAGGAGCTCGAGAGGTCTCGATATTGAAACAACATATTTTTTTTATTTAAAAGAGACTCTTGTTTGCTTACCCTTTTGACATGCATCACATAGATGATCTTTTGAAAACTTTATTTTAGGTAGATCAATTACTAAATCTTTTGCAAATATTTTATTAAGTAGATCAAATTTGACATGTGCCAAACGTCTATGCCAAAGCCAAGAGTCTTACTCATAATGACAAGACATTAGGCATTATTCAAGGAAACTTCTTTTAAGTCTAGAACATAGATATTATTAACTCTCACACTATTAAATATACAATCCTTATTTTCATTATGTTCTATTATGCAACAATATTTGGCAAAAGTCACCTTATACCCATTGTCACACAATTGACTAATGCTAAGAAGGCTATGTCTAAGGCCTTCAACTAACATAATATTTGAGATAGTAATAGTTTAGAGATTAACTATACTACATTTTCCAAGTATTTCACCTTTGTTGTGATCACCGTAGGATACAAAACATTTCTTCTTTTCCATAAAGTCGGAGAAAAGAGATATGTTTCCCTTCAAGTGTTTTGAACATCAACTATCAAGAATCCATTTTCCTGTCATAGCGTCAAAACACTCAACCTACAAAAATCAAACAAAAGTGGTAGATATCCAATTCTCATTGGGTCCTTGGGAGTGAGTGAAAGAA